GGGCCAGCTGGGGCCGCAGGCGGCTGGCGGGTCGCGCGGTCGCCGGCAGCCGGCGGAGGGGGCCGCGCCCTTCCTCCCGGTTCCCTTCTCCGCCCCCGCCGCCGGCTGGAGGGTGGGCGTGCTCTCGCAACTCCTTTATTTTAGGCAGCTAGGTAAGACAATGAGTATTATGAACAGCGGGAGTTGGAAAACGGAACTGCTACAAAGATCTGTTTAATCCTGACTCTTATTAATCCCCCCCCTTCAAGGGAGAGGCTGGGAAGGTGTACACCTCATTTATTTTTAAACTTTTTCTGTTTACAGGGCCTTGTTGGTAATCTGAGGATTTTTATTCCAGGTCTCTCTGACAGATGGAAAACCTGATGTAACCTCAGACTAGCTAACCTTGTGTTTTTGGAAAATTAGCCTTGCTGGTGAAGTAACTGGGGGGCGGGGGGAGGGGGGTAATAGGATATTAGCTCACTTTGCGTAGCCGCGCATACAGTGTTGCAGCCGAATTCGCACACAGGTGAACCAAAATACATGAAGTGTTTCCTGGGTAAATATTTGTGCCAGATGTGAAGTGTCTAGGTGTATTCTCTTCCTGAAAGTTTATGGCATATATGTACTGTATTAGATGAGATGGAAATTACCAAGAACTCATGGTCTTTTCTCTAGAAGCCTGTAACTTAGTAAAAAGTCATGAACAAATGAAATTGAGTAACCATATAAACTTAAACGTTAGTCAAATACGAAATAAGTGTTATAGAGGTTGAAAAACCGGGGCAGTGAAAAAAATGGGTAAGAGTCAAGTAGGAAGCATTTCGAACTGGACCGGTATTGCTCCGACCTGGAAAACGGGAGTCTTTGGGGGATCCAGGCCTAGAAGGAAATATAGGCCTGGACCATTTACCAATAGTGAGAAGGTGGAGCTGGTGGAATTTGGCACACAGTGAATTTTCCATCTCCCATTATCTTTCTGGGTAGGTACTGGAACACCAGGTAGAATGTACTTCCTGGGAAAGACTGATGTCTACCTTTATCATACTCCCACCCAGCTCAGTGCCCAATGCAGGCCTACTGGTTGACTTGTTTTTGAAGTTTATCTCTAGCAACCATCTTCTCTATGAGAGAGGGAGATGATAAAATGTGCTCAAGTAAACTATTTAGTTCTGTACAGGGGAACTAAGGAAGTTGGATTTTTAGAAAAGTAAGGTTGGTAACATACATGTGGTTTCTAAACCACATGTCTGGATTATCAAGGACTTTTCCCTAGACTTACTTGCCTTTTGTTCTACTTAAGTGGTAGGAGAGAGAAAAAGGTTTAGAAACCATTAAAAAGCAAAGGGAAATAAAACCAAAATAAGTCTAAAAAGATGTTAAATTAGACAGTACCCTCCAATACAGGCCTAACAGTCCTAAATATGTTCACGAGATGTGAAAGTTAGTTCTAAATATATTCATGAGATATGAACATAGTCCTAAGTATATTTGCACCAAGAATATCACTTTAGGTTTTATAGAGCCTGAATGGCTGTAGAAATCATCTGTTTCTCTGGTAATCCTGTGTAGTAATGGCTGGGTAATGTAGGAACTGAACCTTAGCTATGACATGAACTTGCTACTTGACACCTGAATCAGGAAACCAGACAGTTAATTTATACTCTAGTGTATCCAATAAGAGGCACATGGTATAAATACCATGGTATTTTTGACACATGGTATTGCATCACAACAAAGGAGAGATCTTGAATTTGTCTTGCCAGTGGGTGTTTTGGGGAGATTACCAACTCAGATTGTTTAGCTGATTCACTGAGTTACATGACTACTCCTATTTTCTAGTGATGACTAAATACGTATTATAGAAATATAGTAAACCTGGAAAACATTCAACAACAACAAAAGCATTATTTGAAGGACGGGAACAAAAATAGTGAAGTTACTGTCAGTTGAAGAGCTGATTCCACCACTAGAACATCATTTGACACAGTAAAGAAAACTGATCGGGTGTCGCAAGAGAATTAACAAGAGGAAAACACAGCTTGCTTTTGTCCCTGAAACCTTGGCTTGGTAAATATTTTGTACAAAAATTGGTAAATTGATTTTATGATACATTATGAATTTAACGTATTTTCTCCCTTGTAGTTTTTAAGTAGAATTCCATCACAAATCAGTGTGAAAATAGTTGATGAGATAACAGCATTAAATGTTAACTATAGTAATCAACTATTTAAAGTCTTTAGATTTTGTTCCTTTGTTTTGGAGATGGGAGAGACTGAAAAGTAGATAAACATGCTCCAGCATGTTTTCATTTTACCAGAACTATTGCAAAACACAGTCTCCTCTAAAAGGGCAGATTTCTTCAGCCCTTTCTGTACTGGGCTCCTACACCATTCCCTGCTGGAGAGAGTCCTTGTACCTTGTATTTGCCAACCATCTTCTGGCATTGGAAAAGCCCCTCTTACTGGCCCAGCAATAGGTGGAGTCCCAGTATTGTGTGGTCTGTGGTCTGTGGAAATGCCCTAAGAAACTAATCTCTCTACTGAGGAAGAATCTTATCTGTGAATGGGGGGTTTTCCCGTCAGTGGATCCTTAGAAACTCATCAGTGCTTACTATTCTCTCTGGAGTTTTTAGGGTTGGACAGTAAAATGCTTTCTTTGCTGAATTCTGCCTGCCAGGGTTGGATCCTAACTGGATTATTAACCACAGGGAGGGCGTGTACCTATTTTAAGACCTGGAACTGTGACACTGAGAATTTGAGATGCTTCACAAGGTTTCTAACTTTCCTTCTGCTTTTAATTTCTGTCACCTCATCACTTAGCTTTGCATTGATGAACAGGAGATGAAGCCAGTTGTTTGTTTCATAGTCTGTGTTTTGATTTCTCCTCTTTAATAGGAAGGGGAAGTTGGGGTGGGGAATGTGGAAGAAGGAAATCTAGTTTTACTGCATTTACCTTTGTTTAACATTTATGATGTGCCAGGCACTGTTCTCCTAATGTATTCTCTCCATTTAATTGTCACAACTCAGAGATGGGTAATGCTGTCTCCGTTTCACAGCTGAAGAAGCAGAAGATACCTTATCCAAAGTTTACACAGCTTACAAGGGGCAGAGCTGAGATGTGAACCCAGGCTGTCTGACTCCAGAATTCAAATATCTGGGCCACGTTATTTAAATCCTGGAAATGGGAGAGAAGAAGGCAGCAGCTAGGAATATATTATTTATTTTTGTAATCTTTTTAGAACTAATCTGATTATAGAAAGTTAAAGATTTTAGCTAGAAAAATCTGAAGAAAAGGGGAGCAGGATAAAATTGATCTTGTCTGGTACTCCTGTTGATCCTTAACCCTGAGTGGCAACTAAGTTTACTTTTTTTTTTTTTTTTTTTTTTTTTTTTTTTTTTAATTAAAAAAGACTATCTGCTTTCTAAGTGAAAAACCCTGTTCGCCATCTGAAGGAGTTTTTAACAGTGGTCAGCACACCTTCTGTCAGGGGCCAGATAGTGAATATTGTGAATTTTACAAGCCATGAGGTTTCAGCCATAACTGTTCAAATTCTGCTGTTGGGGTGAGACAGCTGTCAAGTATAAGCAAATGTGCGTGATTATGTCCCAATAAAACTTTATTTATGGACATTAAAGTTTGAATGTTTCATAGTTCTCATGTGTCACAAAATAATCTTTTGATTATTTTTCTGTTTTTTTCTTACCATTTAAATTGTGAAAACCATCCTTAGTTTGTGGGTGGTATAAAAACAAGTGGTGAGCTGAATTTTGCCCACTGGCCTTAGTTGCCTGACCCCTGTTTTCTGTTTGTTTGGTTGGAGTTTTTGGGTTTTTTTTTTGGTTTTGTTTTCTTTTACGTTTTATTTTTGGTTACTATTTTTTTAGTATAATTTATTGTCAAGTTAGCTGACATACGTCATATACAGTGTGCTCTTGGTTTCGGGGGTAGATTCCTGTGATTCATCTCTTATATGTATATATGGGTGTATATACAACACCCAGTGCTCATCCCGACAAGTGCTCTCCTCGATGCCCATCACCCATTTTCACCTCTCCCCACCCCCCATCAACCCTCAGTTCTCTGTATGTAAGAGTCTCGTATGGGTTTGCGTCCCTCCCACTCTGTTTGAAACTATTTTTTCCCCTTCTTTCCCCATGGTCTTCTGTTAAGTTTCTCAAGTTACACATATGAGTTAAATGATAGGGTATCTGTCTTTCTCTGACTGACTTATTTCACTTCACATAATACCCTACAGTTCCATCCACATTTTTGCAAATGGCAGAATTTCATTCTGTCTCATTGCCAAGTAGTATTCCAGTGTGTGTGTGTATATATATATACACATATACACACATACCACATGTTCTTTATCCACTCATCAGTTGGTGGACATTTGGGCTCTTTCCATGACTTGGCTATTGTTGAAAGCGTTGCTATAAACATTGGGGTACATGTGCCCCTATGAATCACCACTCCTGTATCCTTTGGATAATTCCTAGTAGTGCTATTGTTGGGTCATAGGGTAGCTCTCTTTTTAATTTTTTGAGGAACCTCCATACTATCTTCCAGAGCAGCTACACCAGTTTGCATTCCCACCAACAGTGCCAAGAGGGCTCCCGTTTCTCCCCATCCTTGCCAACATCTGTTTCCTGAGTTGTTGATTTTGGCCACTCTGACCTGTGTGAGGTGGTATCTCAGTGTGGTTTTGATTTGTATTTCCCTGATGATGAGTGATGTTGAGCATCTTCTCATGTGTCTGTTGGTCATCCGGATGTCTTTGGAAGTGTCTGTTCATGTCTTCTGCCCATTTCTTCACTGGATTATTTGGTTTTTTTGGGTGTTAAGTTTGGTAAGTTCTTTATAGATTTTGGGTACTAACCCTTTCTGATAAGTCATTTGCAAATATCTTCTCCCATTCCATTGCCTTTTAGTTTTGTTGATGGTTTCCTTTGCGGTACAGAAGCTTTTTATCTTGATGAGGTCCCAGTAGTTCATTTTTGCATTTATTTCCCTTGCCTTCAGAGATGTGTCGAGTAGGAAGTTGCTGCAGCTGAGGGCCTGACCCCTGTTTTTAAGGAAAGTATGTAGCAATGAGCCAGACTAACCAACAGGACACCATATTTGTTACTGATTTATATATATGTATGTGTAGAAATGTGCTGTGAACAAG